GCTGTCAAATCAAAAAAACGAACTGTGAGGACGGACAGAGGGGTGAACAAAAGACTATCCACCGTGCCGCTGCGAGGGCAAGACGAGCGCGGCGAGTTGGCCACCCAGCCGGACAACCGCCGTCACTATCAGAAATGGGGAGAGAGGGGAGCGGAGAGGAGAGAGACGGCGCGAGGAGACGCGCAGTCGTGCCGGAGCACGACAGAGCGACCACGGGCGAAGTCTCAGCCCACGGCGCACGCAGCTGCGACTACCCGCCAGGATAGTCAGGCAGCCAGAGGCGGCCGCCCAACGGTGCCGCAGGCTGCAGCAGCACCGCTGCCCTCCAAACGAGGGGGCCCCCGACGGGCGCAGCCTCCGCGCGCCCCCCGGGCACCGACCCCCCTTACCCGGGCCCGAGAAATGCGCGGGGGCCGTGGCCTCCTGCGGCGGGGGGGCGAAGTGGCCCCGCTGCCGCCGCCGCGCCACGGCAGCCTCCCTTGCTCCCTGTTAGGGGGAAGGGCCCGGGGCTGACGGCGGCGCCGCGCAGGGCAACGCGCGGGGCGCGCGACGCCGCCCAGGGCGGCAAAGGCGCGAGAGGGTGCCGAGAGCGCCCGGCAGCTGCGCGGGCCTCCCGCGCGCCACCCTGGGGCGGGGCACTCCACGAGAGGCACCCACCGAGGCGGAGCCGCATGGGCAGGGCACCGAGGCATCGGCGCCCGGAGGCCGCAGGCACAGGGCCAGACAGACTCTCGCGCGAACGTGCACTGGCGCACACACGGAGGCGGAGCCGAGACGCAGGAGAGGAGGAGGAACGGGAGGGGGGGCGGAGCACAGCGCGAAGAGACGCGCGGTCGTGCCAAAGCGGCACGACAGAAAGCGGTCGGACAGCCGACCGAGGCCGACCCATGACCTACCAGACGCGAAGGCCCCGACAGGTGGCACAATACAGCTGACGATGTTACACGTCCAGAGAGAGGCAGCTGGGTGCGAGAGTCGCGCAGCTGCAGAAGGGAGACAGCACGGCGGCGTCGCCGCGCGCAGACTCGGCCCGCGGTCGAATCCCAGTGCTACGGAGAGCCAGACAGCCCGTGACTACCATCTTGGAGTGTCACCAGGCTGTCAGCGGGGGACGCCGCCTACAGCGGCGAAGTCGCGCAAAGGCATTGGACGCACATGGCGACACGTGGGACACGCCACGTGTCACAAAGGTGGGGCGCAAAGAGACTGCAGGCACACGGCTAAGCCGCGCGGGTGGTGCGCAGCGAAGTATTGCAACGAAGTCGCCGGGCAACAGACTACATGGCTTTTGCAGAAAACACGCACCAGCGACTTAAACAGAAGGACGGCGGGAGCAAGGGCGGGAGAGCGCGCATAAGCACCGACGTCAGGGCGGGGGAAACCGCCGACGACCGACTCCACAGCCAAAGCGGATGGGCGCGGGCAGGTTGAAACCCTCAGAACACGGCCATTTTCCCAGAATAGGTGTGAGCCAGGCCGAAGTTTCAAAATGAGCTCCTGCCCCCAACCATAGCACGATGTCGCCTCCGTACTCTCCATCGGACTCGCTTGCCCGTGTTGGACACACGCATTTTGTAAGCCGGCGGCACAGAGGATGCGCAGGCGCGGACGGCAGATGGAAGTGCCAATTGCGGTCAACCACTGTCGAAAGCACAGTGCATAACCCATGCGCACTGTCAAATGCAGCGATGGGTGGTGTGAAGGAAAAGCTGCAAATCCAGGCGAACCGTGCAGCGGCCAGAAACCGAGGACGCACCTCAAATCGAGGTAAACTCTAGCGCGAGCAGTCTGGTGCAAATTGGCGGCCACTGGAACACCATAGAAATGTTAGACAATGAAGCGCACGCGTTGCAGACAGGCCAGACTGAAGCTGCACCGGCAAACGGACCAGCCGAAGCGAGAGCAGCAAGAGCAGCCGAGCGAGAGCAGCAGCGAAAATGGTGGTCAATGAACCACCAAACGGTGTAGAGAAGGAACCGCAAGGAAGTACGTCGCTGAGCAAATTAATAGTGTCCGTGGTCCTGCGAGCACATGGGTAGGGCGTGGACCTACGATCCCAAATCGACCGTGATACGGCGAGAAAAGAGGCGACGGCGGCCACGCCAACCACTGAGAAATAAAGGGAGCTGAACAACGGACGCGTCCAATGCAGGAAGCACCACAGATGGGGTGCGTGAGGCGAGCGTTGTTTGCACAACCTGCCAGCAACATAGCAACTGTCCAGTCACAAAAACTGTAAAGACGGACAATGATCAAAAATATAGCTGCGCAAGAGATGAGCGCGCGAGCAACCACCCAGCCAAACCCGCCGCCGCAACAAAACTGGGACAGGCAAAGAGGCGCGACGGATCGCGCGGTCGTGTCACCACGACAAGATCATGGGCGAGATATCCGCCCACGGCGCGCACGCAGCGACTACCCGCCAAGATAGTCCAGCAGCCCGACCAGCCACCGGGATGGCGCGCCCGCAGCACCACGGTGGCGCACGCCCAACGACAATCCAGGAGATAGCCAGCCAGCCAAAAGCTAGCAAGGTCTGCTGCACGAGCAGCAACCGCAGCCCTCCAAAAGAGAGCCCGCGAAAGGTGCAGCATCCCCGCGCCCCGCGCGCGCCAACCCCATGCCCAGGTCCCCCGCAGCGCGACCAGCCAGAAGGCCCTGAAAAGCAAGCGGGGACCATAGCCTCCTGCGGTTGGGGGACGAGGTGGCCTCTCTGCCGACGCCGATCCACGGCAGCCTCGCGGTTCGGGGGGGGGTAAAGGGATGGTGGCGGCGCCGGAAGCACAGCGTTTGTTTGTTTTGCTGTGTATGTTTGTTATTTGTCTCTCTTTTTCTCTTTCTCTCCCCCTCACATACACACACTTGCTTTAATTCGGTCGGCAAGTGGAGGTGCCAATCGCGAACGAACTCCATCGGACGCGCCATGATGAAAGAGCCCGGTCACGGCCATGAGGATTGGTGGTGGGCGACGAGAGGCGCTGCAACGCCGAGGTGCAGCCGCCAAAAAACCAGAGGAACACTAGCTCGACGCGGGTAGTCTGAAGCGCAAGCAGCAGTCTGGTGCTAATTGAAGCCTGGGGGAGACAGCAAAGCAACGCCACCGACCTTGCAGCGAGCAAGTGACGGATTGAGCGACCGTGCAACAGGGTGCATGAGGTCGAGATGATAAAGATGATCACGCGGCCGAGACTGGCTTGGCCTTGGGCAAACAAAAACCAGTGCCGAACACGGGCGACGGCGAGCAGCAGCCGCGAAACGCGGCGGCGCAAATGGGTGATGGGCAGGGCGCGAGCATGGCCGAGCATGCAGTGCAGACGCCAGCGCTAAAACAGCAAACCCCAACCGCAACCAGAGCCGCGAAAGGCTACGGGCGAGGCACGTGACCGCAAGCCAAGAAAGATGGAGCACACCATCTGAGCCCAAACAAAACTGCACGCATCACGGCAAACGTCGCTCCACTCCAACCAACCGGAGACATAATGAAAGAGAAGACGAGCAAAGCTAACCTGCCAGCCAGATACGCCAATGCTGAAACAAAAGAGGACACACACACACACACACACACACGCGGTGGGGACGACACAAAAAGAGAAGCAAGAGGGAGGGAGACGCAGCAAGAGCAAAAGCACGAGAGGAGCCCGGAGAGACGACGGCGGAAGACCCCACGACACGGCCGACCCGCGACCGACCGACGGCGGCGAGGACCGAGCGGCCCCCGCGACCCAGGGGAGGGGACCGACGAACCACCGCGGAGGAAAGCTGCTGGCAGAGCACGCTGACATACAGCTGAAAGCCCAGCAGGAGCAGCGAACTGCAGTCCCAGCTGCGGACACGCACACCCAGGTGCGACACCAGGATGCAAAAAATTAAAAGGCCGCGGCCATGCCGGCCCGCACCCTGTGTCACGGCGCAAGCAGAAAGGCGGTGAGGCCGCCGCCAGTCCAGCATACAGACGGAAAAAAGCGCCGACCACGAAAGGTGCCACGTGGAAATTGCCACGCGCACCCGAGAAGGGCACAGGAAAACCAGTGCCTCGGGCAGCACATGGGTGGCGTAGGCAAGGCAGCACCCGCCCAAGTACCACGAGATACCCCAATGGTACAATCCAGCCTGGCGGCCAAAAACTCCTCCCGCCCAAGGCGGTAAGGAAAAAGCAGTTGGCCAATAGGGAAAAAGCAGTTGGCCAAAAGAAAGGCAGCATGGCGCAGCACGAGGCTGAATCGAGCAACCCCAGGAAAAGACCTTGGGAGAACGCAAAAACGAGAAGTGGGCCGCGGCCAAGCCGGCCCACAACCCATGCCGGGGCGCAGGCAGCGAGGCGGTAAGGATGACGCCAGGTCCAGTGGACTGACGCAGAGAAAGGCGCTACCACACACTCGCACACACACACACACATACACACACACACACACTCGCACACACTCGTACACACACACACACACACACACACACACACACACACACACACGCACACACACACACACACACTCTTGCGTCGGCGGCAAGGCAGAGTGACTGCGCTGGCAGAGACACACACACACACGCTTTTTGGCGTCGCGGCCCCGCGCGCGACGACGGGGCCTAGAAATGCGGGCGCAGGCAGCGGAACGCGCGCGTCTACGCCCTGCCGAGCTCGCAGAGAACGCTTGAAAGCACACACACACACACACACACTTTTGGGAGGTCGCGGCATAGAGCAGGTCGCGCGGGACGCGCCCGCAGGCCGGCCCAGACCACGCCGCGTGGAGACACGGGGTCCCGCCATGGGGGATCGAAAGCATCGCTCGCGAGTGGGGGCAGTCGCGCGGGGAGCAGCGGGGGGAGGCGAGAGGCGCGTGCTGGGAGACGGCGGGAGAGCAGTGCGGCAGCGTGTAGTGGGGCAAGGCGGAGGCGCAGAGGCCAGGAGGGCGAGAAAACAGACAGCATTGGAGCCCTGTGGGCAGTGGGGGGGCACACCAACACGCACCTGTTCCGTCCTCCCCTCTTGGGCGCCCCCGATCCTCCCCGTCCTCCTCCAGCAGCCCCGCCTGCGTGGCCTTCAGGGCGCGGATGACCTCCTCCATACTCCGCACGCGCTCCTCGGTGCGCTCGCACTCGTCCTCCGGGGCGGCAAGGAAGGGCCAGAGGCAACTCGCGGGCTGCCCCCCGGGAGGAAGCCAACCCTGAGATCTGGGCGTCGCAATGTGTTCACACTGGGCTTTTTGTTCGCCCGATCTCGGGCTCCGAGAACCATCACAGATCGACCTGGCCCGAAGGTGCCGCAAAGGGATGGGGTCTAGGGCCCAGGCGTTTGTACGCCCAAGGTCGGGCCCCGGGAACCATCGCCGCTCGACCTGGCTCGAAAGTCTCGCAGAAGGATGTGGTCTGGGATTCCGGCCGTGATGCCTCACGATGCTGCAAACTCCTCGCGACGTCAGACGGTTGGTTCGGGGGGGGGGGCCATGCACTTGGAATCGGCAATACTATCGCGGATAGATTGGCGGCGGGCCCATCCCCCTCTCTGGATCCCCCATGGCAGCGCCTCCGGCGCCGCCACTGGCGAGCCTCACGCGCCAGCGCAGGGGGTCCAGCGCCGATCCAAGAAATCCGCGCGAACCTCCCCGATGGGGTCGCAGGATCAAGTCTCGAGGCCCCGCCGATGGTGTCGTAGGATCGCGGCACATCGCCAAAGGGTGCATCTGGGGCTGACCGCGGGCTGCCCCCCCGGGAGGAAGCCCAGGCCAGCCCCAGCGGGCCCCCGGCGGGCAGCCCGAGGCTACCCTGGGAGCCTGGCGGGGCGGGCCCCGCCTTCCTCTGGAGAGGGGCTGCCTGCGCGCAGTGGCCCAGGCCTTCCTTGCCAGCAAAAACGAGAGGTCTCTCAGCCCCAGAAGTGCCGACCACTTCCCCAGGGGGTAGCCCTGCGCCCTAATCAACGTTTCCCTGATAGCGCTTCGCAAGGGTTACGAGGAATACCGAAAAAGAGTTCCACGAGAGGGACGGAACCACATTGTCCGTTCTCGCCCGCTGAGCCAACGAGCTCTTCCCTGTGCCCAAATTCCTCCCTAGCCCTCAACGTAGAGCTCTACGAAGCATGTTCAAATCTCGAGCAGTCCTGCAAAAAACCCAGCCCAAAGATACCACATGATCCGGTCTCGTCGGGTCGGCCAACTGGTTCCGCCCGAAGACACTCGGTCCAGCAGCCGCTTCACCCGAGACTTCCTGACAACTGCCTCGAGAATCGTAACACCGCCCCCGCAGGTCTCCGAAGGGGCCCAGAAGCCCCGGCGGCCTCTGCTCCAGAAAAGACGCCCGAGAAACTGGGTCTCGGCCGTCCTCTGATATATCGTGCGTTCAATCAATCCACGGCCCCAGAACTCCCGAAGCCCCTCCCCCAGGAGGTCCGTCGGCGAGCCCAGGAGGGGAGTGAGAAGGGGCGGGCCTCCTCAGAGGGCTCGAAAGACCCCCCGCCTTCTGAGAAGCTTTCTGAACCCTCCCCGAAAGCACGGGAGCTTCTCGGAAGGCGCGAGGGCCTCTGAGAAGCCCCGCCGCCTTCTGAGAAGGCCTTCTCCTTCACAGCGACACATATGAATACTGCTCTCCTCTCTCCCCGGATGACGTCCGGAAGATGTCCAGCCCCCCTCCGCGTGGTGTTTTTTACACACAGGATTCCCAGGAGTTGGGTTTTCGCTTTGGTTTTTTCAAAAAGTTGCCCCCGCTGAAGCGCTGGCCTTATTTTCGGGCTTCCGCTCGTTCCAAATGGTGCTCCCGCTTCAGCGCTGGCCTCATTTCCGCGCTTCCGTTCGTTCCGAATCGCGCTCACGCTGCAGCGCTGGCGTCATTATTTCCAGTGCCATGCCATGGCATGGTTTTCGGTCCTTCCAAATAGGCCCCAAAATCTAAAAAATGGCACCCCGAAAAATCCATCGAAAGTGACTACACATTCGGTGTCGATTCGTTGGCGTTTGGGCCGCAGAAGCCCCCAAAAAATTCGGGGGGTCGCCACGCCATGCTATGGCTACGCGTTGATGTTCAACGCCATGCAATGCCCTGTAATGCTATGCCATGTTACGACATCCGACTGTGCGAATAGAGAGATCTACTCCATGGTAATGGATGGGAGGGAGGAGAAGGACGTCAGATATGACGCGAGCGCACCTAGTTTGTCACTTCTCCCCTTCGCCCGCCGCCGATCCACTCTTCTTTGCCCCTGGCCCAGCATAGGTCCCTGTTGGCCGCAATCGAGAAAAAACGCCCGCATTGGAAAAAACATCTCCTTGGAGATCTGGAATCGTCGGCGGCGAGCCCGTCGTCTGACGACCTACCCAGCCACTCCAACCCAGCCCGAAGGCCCAAATTTTGCGTTGGGAGGGGTACAGGTTCCATGTGTCACCGCGCCGCTTTGTTCTCGACGCGCCCAAGTGGACGATGCCGACACAACGGCAAACCCACGGCAAGCCCTGCGCCCCGCGTCCCGAGGAGACGCAGCCGGCGCCGCGGCAAACCCCACGGCAGGCCCTGCGTCCGAGGCGGAGTTTGCCCTGGTGGCCGAGGCGCCCTCCCAAAGGCGGAAGGCCGCAGGTCGGAACAAACAGCGTGGCGACATATTGGCTTTTTTGCTAAATTCTCCCCGACGCCACCCCCAGACCAGTGGGAATGGAGGGCACAAATTGGGGCCGTCGGGTTAGGGTGGGGCGGTTTCGTGGGTGGTGATCGTCGTCGTCGTCGTCGTCGTCCGCCGGCGTCCTCCAGGCGGTGGATCTCATCCTCGGCGTCCTGTAGGATACACACAAGAGTGAGCCTGGGTAAGAGTGACCTTTGAAATGCGGCTTTGGGGGGGCCGCGGGGGGACCGAACACAAGCGCGCAAGACGCTACTATCGGGGAGACGTAAGACTCGGGTTCGGGGGACTCGGCTTGGCTTGACGTGGTCATCATGAAAATGACGAGACCCAGTCTGAAAAATCACGCAGGCTCCCGCTGCAGACATTCCACGAGACCTGGACCACTAAGACCCAGGACGCGCTCGTCAAAGGGCGTCGGCAAGCACTAGTTCCGGCGCTCGCGAGTCTCACGCTTCCCCGATGCTATCGCGTCGCGTCCGGCGATCGGCGCACCAAAGGTCACTCCGGCGCAGGGTCTTACGTGTATTGGCGGCGCGCACAAGGGGGTGGGGCCAAGGGGGGAGGCTTCTTAGAAGGAGGCTGCTTCGTAGAAGGCACCGGCCCTACATCTACCACCACAAGGTCCGCGCCTTTTGAGAAGCAGGGGTGCTTCTGAGAAGCCTTCCCCCCCCCCTCTGCCCCCCCCTGCGCATGACCGGCTGACGTGTAGTCGATCCTCGCCCTCGCCCTCGTCGTCCGAGCCGCACTGGCCGAGGGCGGGCCGCCGGGCGCGGGCCATGCGAGCGCCCCGCCAGCCGGCCGCGAGGAGAGGCAGGGACCACGGGGTGCGCGGAACGGGCGCGGGCCGCGGGGGGAAACGCAGAGCCCCATCTCTGAAGCACCGATATGGTCATCGCCGCCTCCTCCTCCTCCTCTCCTCCTCCTCCTCCTCCTCCTCCTCCTCCTCCTCCTCCTCCTCCTCCTCTCCTCCTCCTCCTCCTCCTCCTCCCTCCTCCTCCTCCTCCTCCTCCTCCTCCTCCTCCTCCTCCTCCTCCTCCTCTCCTCCTCCTCCTCCTCCTCCTCCTCCTCCTCCTCCTCCTCCTCCTCCTCCTCCCTCTCCTCCTCCTCCTCCTCCCTCCTCCCTCCTCCCTCCTCCCTCCTCCTCCCTCCTCCCTCCTCCCTCCTCCCTCCTCCTCCTCCTCCTCTCCTCCTCCCTCCTCCCTCCTCCCTCCTCCCTCCTCCCTCCCTCCTCCTCTCGCCCTCCCTCCCTCCCTCCGCCCCTCCTTCCTCTCCTCCCTCCTCCTCCTCCCTGCCTCCTCCCTCCTCCCCTCCTCCCCCCCTCCCTCCTCCCCCTCCCTCCTCCCTCCTTCTCCTCCTCCATCCTCCCTCCCCCTCCCTCCTCCTCCCTCCTCCCTCCTCCCTCCTCCCCTCCTCCTCCTCCCTCCTCCTCCTCCTCCTCCTCTCCTCCTCCTCCTCCTCCTCCTCCTCCTCCTCCTCCTCCTCCCTTCCTCCTTCCTCCTCCTCCTCCTCCTCCTCCTCCTCTCCTCCTCCTCCTCCTCCTCCTCCTCCTCCTCCTCCTCCTCCTCGCTCCTCCTCCTCCGCCTCCTCCTCACTCCTCCCCTCCTCCTCCCTCCTCCTCCTCCTCCTCCTCCTCCTCCTCCTCCTCCTCCTCCTCCTCCTCCTCCTCCTCCTCCTCCTCCTCCTCCTCCTCCTCCTCCTCCTCCTCCTCCCCCTCCTCTGTTCGTGGGCCACTCTGATCAGATGCGCCCAGAGCCTCGCCAGCGGTCGTTGCCCCAGGGGAGCATTCCAGGAGAGGCCAGCAAGATCAGCATTCGCCAGGTCGGCGGGCGCTTCCAGTCTCACCAGGAGGTGGGGACGGAGGAGGACGAGAGGGATGAGGAGGAGAGAGGCGAGGCGAGGTGAAGTAAGCAGACGGAACAAGAGGTGAAGGAGGAGAGGGAGGATAATGACGAAACAGGACGAGGATGAGCGGGATGAGGATCAGATGAAAGATGGAAAATAAACGATGAGAACGAGGAGGAAGGGTGAAGGAGGATAAGAAGGAAAACGAAGAAAGAAGAGGAGGAGGAGAGGGATGAGCATCAAAGAGAACATGGGAAATAAAGAGGAGAGCAAGGAAGACGGGTGAAGGAGGAGAAGGGAGATATAGAAAGAGGAGGATGGTGAGAGGGATGAGAATCAGAGAAGAGATGGGAAATGGAAGGGAGAGAAGTGAGAGAGAGGGAGGTGGGATGGAGAACGATTAGGGAGAAGGGAGGGAGAGAGGGACGGACGTTGGACAAGGTCTCCTCTTCGTCCCTCCTCACCGTTCTCCTCCTCCTCCTCATCCCCGCCCTCCGTCCCTCCCTCCATCCCTCCTCCTCACCATCACCATCAGCATCATCATTGTCATCATCATCAGCATCATCAGCATCAGCATCAACATCATCATCATCATCATCATCATCATCATCATCATCATCATCATCAGCATCATCATCATCATCATCATCATCATCATCATCATCAGCAGCAGCATCATAATCAACATCATCAACCTCATCGTCGTCGTCATCATTGTTATCAGCATCCGCATCCTCATCCTCATCATCATTATCATCAGCATCATCATCATCATCATCATCATCAGCATCATCATCATCATCATCATCATCAGCATCAGCATCATCATCATCATCAGTATTAGCATCAGCATCATCATCATCGTCGTCATCGTCATCGTCGTCGTCGCTAGCATGATCAACATAATCATATTCAGCACCATCATCATCATCATCATCATCATCATCATCATCATCAGCATCATCATCATCATCAGCAGCAGCATTATGGTCATTACCATACTCTTGCTTGTCTTCCTCCCACTAACCATTCCAACCCTTGCCCTCCCTCTTCCTCCTGCTCCACCCCCAATCATCCTCCTCATCCAACTCCACCTCATCCTCCCTCTCTTCATACGTCTTCTCTTCCTCCCCCTTTACCTCATCCACCTCGTCTCCCACACCGTTTATCCGTCCTCCTGCTCCACGTCACACGTCCTCCGCCTTCTCATCCTCCTCCACCTCCTCCGCCTCCTCCTCCACCTTTTCCTCCACCTACTCCGCCCCCCCCCCCCCCCCCCCTGCGCCTCCTACTCTTCCAACTGCTCCTCCTCCTCATTCTCCTCCGCCTCCTCCCCCTCCTCCTCGTCCGCCTCGCCCCCCCCCCCCCCCCCGACCCGTTCTCCGTCCTCTTCCTCCTCACCCTCCTCCTCCTCGTCCCCTCCTCTCCTCCTCTTCCTCGGCCTCCTCCTCCTCCTCCTCCTCCTGCTCATCCTCCTCCTCCTCCTGCTCCTCCTCCTCCTCATCCTCCTATAAAATCCGACGCCATCCACACACCCCATCCGCCCTCTCCTGCTACTACGCCTGACGGCATGTCCGATCCCCTCGTCCTCTTCCTCCATCCCCTTGTCCTGGAGCTCTTCCCTGCCGCACCCCGAGACGTGTCAGCAGGGCGGCCCGCGCGTTTCGCCTGACACGGCCAAACCATGTGTGAGCATGAAGCTTGCATTCTGCAAGAGATTCACGAATGTACGGCGGATCGTGCTCAAAACGTGGCTCTCGCGACAGCACCGCGCACATTCGCCTCAGAAGACCGCAAGAACTTCACCGATGCTTGGCGGTTCCGTTTCAAAACGTGGCTCTCGCCGTAGTGCCGCACACAGTCGCCTTAGAAGATTGCAAGAATTTCGCGGATGGAGGGCCAATAGATCTCGCCTTAGCGCCGCGCACAATCGTCATGCAAGCTTACACTATATTCACGGGTGGAAGACAGTTCCTATTCAAGATGTGGCTCTCGCCGTAACGCCGCGAAGAGTCGCCTTCAAATTCCCACCAGTTCTGAGGACTCTGATGCTTGACGTCCCAGGAGACGCGCCATCGCTCCTTTTAGCAATGTCAGGGCGCAACGGTCACGTTGATTCGCGCGCGGTGCTGAAGTTCCAGGAATGGTGCTCTGGCACGGTGCGGGATCGTCAGGATACGACAATAAAGCTGATTCGTGGCATTGAAGCCCTAAGAACAATGTTTCTGGCACCATCGAGGATTATCAGACGGTTGTTTTCCAATAGGGCCACTCCTGCAGAAAAACAAATTCTTGTAGGGACACGCGGAAGGGAAAAACTGGGAGAGAGGGCTCATTGCAACATCATTGATGCGTCCTGGGTTTATACCTCCTCCTCCTCCTCAGTTTTCTCCTCCCGCGGCCATCCTCCCTCCTCCAACCCCCCCACGACCCTCCCTCCCCCATCCCTCGCCGTCCCTCCCCCGCCCTCCTCGCTCCCTCGAGTGCACTGGAAGCGAGCCAGCAATTTCCGAAATGTTTTTCTCTGACATCGCTGGCAACGCGACGCGCGCCAGGAGCGAGCCGGCACGCGCCGAAAATGAGTCTACAATAAAAGAAGCGTGGAGGGTCCCACAACGTCGGCGGTTCCGCGGGATAACCGTTCCCGATTGATGGGTCAGCCACGGAGGGGAGGAGGGGCACTGTGCACTACACAGGGGGTTCATTTTCGGCGATCGATGGAGGGAGGAAAAGCGGAAGGATGAAGGAACACGCTCCAAACGCTCCCACGCAGGATGGCTGGGAGGAGGAGAGAGGAAAAGAGTGACACTGGCCAGCAAGAGAAGGGCGGATGAGAGCAGGAAGACGATCCAGAAAAGAAGACCAAAAAGCGGCATTGAAAGAATGAAGCCGCTGTCCTTCAAGAGGGCTATCCCGTCAACGGACAGTAAGATCACGAGCGATTCACAAAGCAAAGACGGCGGACAAATCCTGCCCCCCTCCCCCTACGAGGCAAAACGCACTGCCACAGGACAGGACAAAAAAGGTCAAGAACGACCAGGGGTGAACAAGAAGAAACCGGAAACGGCGCGGGGAAAAAAAGGACGAGACACGACACGGCAAAGGAGCCAGGAACAGCAAGAGAAGAGAGGACGGGAAGCACAACAGTAGACGATGAGACAGACTGCAAATATCAATGAACAAAGGACAAGACAAGTCGCTACGGAAGCCTGGGAAATTTCTCGTGTACTTCACCAGCGCTAACAAGACTTCATTCGCAAGCTACTTGCTTCGACCCTTCCAAAGAAACAGTGGCTGTAGTAGTAGTACTAGTAGTAGTAGTAGTAGTAGTAGTAGTAGTAGTAGTAGTAGTAGTAGTAGTAGTAGTAGTAGTAGTAGTAGTAGTAGTAGTAGTAGTAGTAGTAGTAGTAGTAGTAGTAGTAGTAGTGTAGTAGTAGTGGTAGTAGTAGTAGTAATGATAGTAGTAGTAGTATTAATAGTAGTAGTAGAAATGTTAGTAGTAGTAGTAGTAGTAGTAGTAGTAGTAGTAGTAGTAGTAGTAGTGGTACTAGTATTAGTAGTAGACGTCGTCGTCGGGATAGTCGTCGTAGGTTTAGTCGTCGTAGTAGTTACGGACAGTATAATAATAGTGAGAGTAGTAGTAGTAGTAGTAGTAGTAGTAGTAGTAGTAGTAGTAGTAGTAGTAGTAGTAGTAGTAGTAGTAGTAGTAGTGGTAGTAGGTAACGGTGGAAGGAGTACTAGAAGTAGAACTAGCAGTAGTAGTAGTAGTAGTAGTAGCAGTAGTAGTAGTAGTAGTAGTGGTAGTACTAAGATGAACACTAGTAGCCGTAGTACCACTACTACTACTACTACTACTACTACTACGACTACTACTACTACTACTACTACTACGACTACTATTACTAAGACATAGCAATAGAAACCATGACAAGTCATAGTTGTAGAATCAACCAAGTGATAGTAGCAGTACAAGTAGATGCAGAAATAATACAAATAGTAATCGTGATGGTACGAGTGATAATAGGTA